TCACATCGGGATCGGGTTCGAGTCTGTTGGCATCGAACTTGGACTTACTCTCGTGGTTATCGAACAAGTGACTTTTTCACATCCATGTTCACTATATATGCAAGTTGTACACATGCTTACAAAGTGGAAGGAGAAGAACGGGAGAACTGCAACCAGCCTGGTCCTTGTCAGAGCACTGTGGAGTTGCAATGACAGGTGTAACATTCAGTGGGAGGACATTCTCTACATCCTTCAGGGACCGTCCACCTTGTCTGTGTAATCAAGTCGGAGAGCTGTATGCACATGACGCTGTCTTGCTTTACGCTGTGAATACACGAGTGGGTATATAAGTAATCGTCACTGAGTTTCCCCGACCACATACAGAGAAATCATGCCTACATTTATGTTCTCTCATATACTAGCGCTGCACTGAACAGTCTTCTCATGTACAGTTATCATTGATTGATTGGGTTCCCGCTTTGAAATATCGAGTCGAGATGCTAGGTTCACTAAGGCTTTTGTACATAAATTGGGATCCTGACTGATCTGAATGATTTTCTGTTTCCTCAAGTTGCACACTGAACACTCTTCATTTAAATAGTAATATCTTTTCCGTTTGTAATACATTGTGATCCTATTTGTATGTGTTGAGAATAAATGCTTTTAATAAATTGCTGTGATGCCTTTTGTAACTACTTGCCTTTCTGTCTCTTTTATTTGAGGATGAACTAGCGAGGGATGATTACATGTGGCCTAAACGTCATCCATAATCCGAAAATCCGGAGACATAATTGCGTCTCAAATAACGATTTGACTCTACAATGTCCGGTCACGATTGAACAGTCAAATTATTTGTGTTATGTTGTTCCAAGTGTACTGTTTATCTGTTGTATCTTATTTTGTACAATTTCACAAGGGTTTGCTGGTCGTAGAATCTTGCTGATTGATTATGGACGACAATCAGTGTTTTACTCTCTAAAGCAGCTGTATTCTATTTGTAAGAATATTTCCTGGTTGGAAGATTGCAAATACTGGTCATGGGCTGTAGTTGTTCTCAGGTATGAAATCCAAGGAAATCGTTATCCTATCCAGTCCTCTACACTTTTACAATAAAACATTTAGACAACTATCGAAGGATAATATGTGAACGCATTTGCATGTTGACTGCAAATGGATAGCGGAAAAGATTGGTGTAATGACGAAACATGTGTAAATACAGTTGTGACTGCACTCATATCTATGCACCATTGCAACAGATTTGTAGTGGTGAAAAGTCTAGTTTTTTCGAAAATCCGATTTTATGTATTCAATAATATACCCTTTTAGATTCTACAAATAGCTTGATAAAGAATTCGAATGACAAAATTACAAGTAATGATCTCAATTATAGAGAAGCCTGAAATACTGTCACTTTCTTTATGCATGGAAAAGATCAAAATAGCAATGAGAAGTATATGAATGGATCACTGGAAATCAGTGATGACACCAGGTATTCCACAGAATAATTAGCATGTAATGCTCTACCAGAAGCACCCGCCACACTCATAAATTTCATAAAAGATGTAAGCTGTTTGTTGTTGCCAAATGCCGCCACCAGCAATACTCCTGACATATCACGGTGGCCGGTAAAGTATCGAGTCTCGACCAGAGAATCCAGGGATCACTATCATGAGCAATGACTCACGTCGTCGGGTTACTACTCCACGCTGTCTACCAAGTCACCAAGCATGACCACCCGATCCATTTAAGTAAGTGAGTAAGGAGATGTGAAATCTCCCCGTAAAGGTCATAGTATGGGATAGAATTGAAAATCACTTTGACAAGTAGCATGTCATATTTCGTAAAAAAATCTACCTAATTTCCTATTTCTGGAATGACTTGATCAGGCCTATGATGCCGAACCTTGATTTAAGTTTAGCTTAGTTGTAAAAAACATGTGTGTTTCCAGGAAATTTAATGATATGCGTTTAAGTACATAAGCAACAGGGAAATATAGATGACATGAGTTGAAGCTGAAGGCATATTATTCCACGTGACATTCACTTTGAAACATCACTAGGACGAGATGTTTGTATAGTTTGTCCCATTTCTACACTAATGTATGTCACATATGCATTTTATCCCTTGGGTTCAATAACATTTTCAAAAGCGGGAGTTTAAAATGTTACTTCATGTAAAATACCTGCACTCTAACTATGAAATCCATTGAAATGAAATACTATTTACATTGTACTTTTCGACAAAACCAACTCAGCTTCAGGGTATAGGACAGAAGTAGTCGAGACCCGGTACAAGAGACGACAAGAACGTTTACTTGTCGGCGGCGATTGTGACGTAGCTAGTCCGAAAATCCGACACAGTCAATCAGAGATTCTCTGTTCCAACTGGATTTATTCACATGTCTATTAAAAAATATCAATGCATTTCAGAATAGTTATTCAATTGTCAGTAATTTAATAATAACACATGTCAAAATTCCATTAAAAGATATCAATGCATTTCAAAATAGTTATTCAATTGTCAGTTATTTAAGATCCGACACATGCTCTGCAATAACCAATGCGCACTTCAGCACCGTTACCTCAGTACCATATCTAAAACATATTATGTTGAGTCTATTTGGGATAATGTGACATTGTTGTATACAGTAACCATTTTTCGATATTTCTCTTTGTAACCAGTACATTTAATTGAACAGGACGATATATTTGCAGATATTCCTTTATTATTACCCAGATATTCCTTTGTAACAAGTACATCAAATTGAACAGGAGGAAAATATTAGAAGATATTCCTTTATTATTACGCATGTCGCTTTTATCAAAACTTGTGTGATGATTCAACTGCTGTACGTACACATAGAGGTCAATTAAACAGTAGAAGGTTCCGCCTTCGCAATCAGTTCAAGTGAAGTTCTTCGCTATGTTGTTATATCCCATTGAGCTCTCAACGCAAAATGACCTGCTAATGTGTATAAGTTCATATCATATTATGTACTATTGAAAAGGAAACACATCCACGTGTATTGGTGCACTTTTACATGACGAGACGATTTACTTTGGTTAACAGCATGCTTGTCTCATTTCTCCTGTATGCCAATCCACACCACCACTATTTTTCCTCTTATGCAGCTATTCATGCTTTCACGCCAATTCAACTCTGGATATAAAAAC